TTTTCTGTAAATGCATGATTATGACCTTGTGAGGAAGAAGAGATGTGAAAAAAGTTGCGCAGCCAGACTGGTCTGTGTTGCTGTCTTTCCCAGCACAGAGTGCAATCAGCTTTCAATACACAATAATTGGGGATGTATTTTTATTTGCGCCAGGTGGCTGCTGCACCCACGGTCATGACTGCGTGTGTCAGCTGGTATATTGGTCGCCTGGGGTATAAGAAGCAGCTCAATTTAAGATGTAAAAAATGCATTAAACGTGTGTCTTATAGACACCAGATTTTACGGTAATATAAAAGGACAAAAACAACCTATATTTTCTTCTGATGGCCTTTTTGGTCACATAGAGTAATCAGAATTCATTTCAGTCCAGCTCATAAACACATAAAATTTCTTAACAGTAAGTTTAAAGATCAGTAAATATATCCCGCTGGGAGGTGCGTGTGTGACCAACTAACTCTGGGAGTTTTCAGGGGCAGTCTTTCTGAGATATCTAGACATTTTCCGGAGTGCATATTAGAAACTGGATTATGTCATGTCTTTAAGTTAGCTAGCAAGCTTTTATCCTGCCGATTTCAACATTGGATTACTATTTTTAACTAAGGGGATTTGCAATCAAGCTTGGATTCACTTCGAGTGGAGGAGGAGGCAGCAGCTGTAGGTGATGGGGTTGTTTCAACCCACAAAATCCTGAGCAAAATCCCCCAATTGCCATTCCTTCATGCTTATTGCTTGGATTAATCCACTCACCAGTATGACCTCTAGTGCCGGTAGAATGCCCATGTTCGACAGCGTCTTGAAGAAGGCGTCTCTGTTTTGAGGTTGTAACGTTTGGGAGAATGCACAGAATTCTTTTAGGAAGTTCACCTGCAAGAAAAAAGAACCACACTCTCAGACGTGATACAAGGAGAAAATTAATCAATGAATCGATTAAAGATCTAGGCTGAAAGTCTGGCATACCAGTTCGTGTCTTTTATCGTCGTCTGTGGCCTCATCTGTGAGCTGTGCAAAGAGGTCTGTCAGGAACTTCTCATCATCCTGACATCACAAGGGAAGTGCAAAATATGAGTGAATGAGTTTCACATAAAAGGGTTAACAGATCAGGATACAGAAACAAGAAACCTTTACCTGTACACTTAACCTGGGGTAAGATACAAAAAGTAAACTAAGATACAAATAACTACCAATCCAAAAAGTGACTGATTTAGTTTCAGTTCAAAACCATTGATACACAACACATGTTTTGTTCAGTCCTTTAAATGTATTGCAGTTAATTTGAAAGAAATCTGTCAAAGTCATAAAACTCACAAAATGTGGGTGATTATTCTGACTGGTTATGCACTGTTCACATACTCTTTAAATCGACAAACCAGTACTATTTAGTAAATTTGCATCTGATAAAGCAGATGATGGTTTAATGATCAAAACATTTGCTCTCTTTACTTTAACTTCAAAAGACAGCCGCGTGGGAAATGAGGAGGACAAGTCTCATATCAGGGTTGGACTTCAGAATTTCACATGGCACAGTTATCCATAGAGTCAACAGCGTCCTAGTTTCAGTTTATCTCTAGCCCAGCGTAACTGATTTACACAACACTTCTCTATCTCTATGGAGACAGCCATACATAAACACTGCTGAGTTGACACAATACAAAAACACAAAGATCACACTAGCAGACAAACTCAGACTGGGAAGAGCACAATCAGCCAAAACTGAAACCTTTGTACACTCCTACAATTACTGTAATTTCAAGTGATTACTGCTTTGACACTATTTTAGGATTACTCACATCTGTTTTTATTTTGAAAATGTTCTTGGTATCAGCCTAAAATCCTTTTTTTTTTTTTGCTTGAGCAAAAAGCCTAATTTTAAAGAGAAATGTGGTGTAAAAATAGTGCAAAAACAAACAACCTTTGTTTTGTCTCACCTGTAGCATGCCCACAATCTCCACCTTGTTAAAGAAGATGAAGGAGTGCAGGGTGGACAGCATGTTTTCCTCAAAAACTGAGGGCGTGGGCAGCACCATATCCTGAATGTACTGCACACGATACGTCTGGTGTATTTTTTGACGCAGTTCAGGATCAGAGATGGGGATCACCTCTTTGAAGCGGGCGGTCTTAGTTAGAAACTCCCGGTGCCGCCTTGGCTGTGGGAGTGCTGGGTCAAACTCCAGACAACCAATGACGTCCATAATGCACTCTTCAGAGAACATAACCTCAAAGAGTGCCGTGCGATTGAGCAGGAAGATGCCTTTAATTATTTCGTACAGGTGGTGCAGTCCCTCACTGTTCTCCAAATCCTCACACACATGAAACAGTTCCAGGAGCTTGCGAATGTAGCCCTCATTCTCCACGGCAAGAGCCAGCTTCTCGCGCCGCAGTGGTGATGGGAGTGATGAGGCCACCAGTTCAGCCAGATCGTCCAAGCGGTTCAGTTCACATGGCGGTAATTCCAGACCAGGGGATGACATGTCCTCAAAGCGCTCATCCTCAGACTCATCGACCACATCCTGGGTGATATCCACTGACGGGTCCTTACCCTGCACCTTACATTCAGACACACATACAGTATAATGTGAATACTTAAATAAGCTATCACAAGTAACACCCAAACAACAGTGTAAAACGCATACACAGATGGAGCAGACAAACACACACCCACACAAAGATATGTGCAGTTTACCTGGCATATTTTCTCCCAGATTTCATCACAGCCAGCCTTCTCCTGGAAGCTGAGTGCCAGGTCATAATTCTCCGCCTCGGACCACACTATCAATGTATCCTGTATAAAAGAAAAACAAAGCCAATTTAATCATCACACAGAAAAAGTAAAAACGTAACAAGTGCACTGCGAAATGATATAAACTGACCTGTTGTTTCTGGTAGGCTGTGGTTGGATTGATTTTGGACTCCAGCAGTAGGGAACCTGTAATTAATAAAAACAAGAGTGGCTCATTAAGTTTTGAAAACTGACTTTCAACAGGAGGATAGGTTAGGCCAGGGGTCTCCAACAGGTAACTCGGGAGCTACAGGGGTAGCTCGTGGGCAGGTCTCCAGTAGCTCACCTGTAGGTTGACTGACTGTGTTAAAAATAAAAAATAAATCTGACTACAGTAAACACACCTCTTCCCACTATTCATGTAATTGGCCCATAAAAAACAAGTGTAAAGTGGTCATGTTTTCTTGGACATTGATGTGAATTTTCAGCAACATAGCTTACTATGTGGCACAAAAAGAAGTGTAAAATATTCACATTTTGTTTTTCTTGGACCTTGATGTGAATTTAAGATTATTGACAAGCATTGGCTTAGTAGCTTAATCCAGCTGATGTGTGTGTGTGTGTGTGTGTGTGTGTGTGTGTGTGCTGTGTAAAATAAATGCAAGTAGCTCTTGGCCACTTTCATTTTTTTTTTCTCCAAAGTAGCTCTCAGATGAAGAAAAGGTTGGAGACCCCTGGGTTAGACTATTCTCCACACACATGTAACATGCCTGGTCCCAATGCTTGTCTTGAGCAGCTAATACAATGATCATCATAACAAAACCCCCCCCCCACCCCCCCAAAAAGAAAAGTTACCATCCCATCGTCTACTCACCATCACTCTCTGCTCGCACCAGGAGGGACGTGCCTTTCAAACGCTCCACGTAGCCCGAGGAGACGTGTCCGGTCCCACGGTCGTCCCACTGTCTGTCCTCATTGAGGGTATAGACTTTGACTCGTCGGCGAGTGTCCGTCATCCTGGCAGGTAGTTCCCCCACCACCACCACCCCACCTCCTGACAGTGTGCTGGGTGACGCCGACACTTAAATCCACTTTTTGTTGTATGTGTGTACACCTGTTCACTTTACTACAATGAAGTAACTAGAAGCAGGGGGTCAAACAGGGTTGGCAGCACACCTGGACTATAACCCAGAAAGTACGATACCTGTTAAATGTGACCCGAATGCCTCAAAACTTAGTCCGGGCAGTGTGACACAACAAACCCTGGGTAGCAAAAGCCTTATTTAAAAGCAAACTACTGGTTGTTTATCCACTAATCAAATGGGAGACCGACATTGCAAAGTCCCAACACAATGTTCAAAAGACGTGTATTCGTAGCAAACCTTAGCAAAGATGCGTCCTGTGGGTTCACAGCAACACTCTGCTTCTCCAGTACAGTGTGTACGCTTGTGCTAGCAAAAAAAAAAAAAAAAAAACCCGAGTTCACTAACTAGCTGCTACGCTAACTGCCTACGCTCCACATTCTCAATTTTAAATAACCTCTCAAAACGAACCGAGCCGATCTGTACAGCGGTGACATAGTTTAATATTTGCGGGAACGCACACGCCCGTGTTTACTCTCGAACCGATTCGTCTAATTGTGTCTGTATAATACGCCAGCTAGCCAGCTAGCTAGCGTTAGCTGCTATTTCTTCCCCCAAGTGTTCCGCCATGTTCTGGCTCGGGGCCGCGGAGAGACCTCTCTCTCCTCACTGGTATTCGTGCATCTCTTTAAAAAAATAATATATGCAAAGCAACAAACTGTACTCGGATAATTTCTTTAAAGGTAACGCTTTACATTATACTGTTATTCGCCATTCATTCCCGACGTCTCTGCTCAGATAATTGCTAACTCCCCCCCCTCCGTGAGTATTCAGCCATCTTGGGTCCCTTCTGAGTCAGTACGGGGTTTCCAGCACAGCAACAACAGGGCAGCGCGCCACATTTAAAGAGACAGTAACCCGTTTTCTAATATGCAAAAGCAGAAGGGAGTCCCAATCATTTGAGAAGCAAATCCCGATAAAACAGTAGTTTCTCTCGGTTGAAAGAAAATGTTACCCTCTTTTTTTTTTTTTTTTTTTAACAAATGGTTATGAAAGTAAAAGTGGAGACCAATCAGAAAGCAATAGTTTATTTTGCTTTAGACAAAGAAAACTGTAACTGAAGATACTGGTTGAAATCAGATGCAATGCATAATTTAAAGTTTACCACCACAACAACAAAACAAAAAAAAACCTCATTATGGTAGGCTTTAGTAACAATGTTTAATAACACTTCAAATATTGGAAATAGTGTTCTGGGTTCAGTGACATGAATGGGTGGGTATGTCAGGCTGCAGCATTATCTCTTTTTAAAAATAAATCTGCATTCGCATTCCACAGCATGTACAAATTCAACTTCCACGAAAAGCTTTATCAAAACAAAGAAAGTCACATAGAAAAAAAAAAAAATCCCAGAATTGAAAAAATTGTAAAAACAAAAACTGTTTAGTTCCTGGTGAGCTTTTCTCGAAGCAGTGATCCCTCTCAATCAATAAGTTAGTCCTTGTTGGCATTATCCTTATTCTAAACCGATTGTAACACATTTTTCTATATAAAAAGGCAGAAACTTCTGATGTTAACCCAATTTTCAACCCCTTCCACTTCCAGAGTACAATATATCGTGAACCCTTTCCTTGTCAAACTGACATGTCCTTTTACACAGATCTTCAAGATGCTGTGGAAATGTTATGCACCTTGAATTCCTTCCAAGTGTGTGGCAAGACAACTCCTGACGCCTTTACTTTGACGCCTGCTGAGCCTGACGCCGCAGCAGGACATATATCTTCTCCTTGATCCAGTCTTTGTTGTATGGTTGGTATGTTTGTGTGTCAGTTCTGTAGCTGTAGGGGGGGGGAAGATAATTATATTATGTAATATTTGTTTTAAATTAAATTCCACATGCATTTACAAGGGATATTTTACTTACACAAGACAGCTTAGATCTGCCAAGTCATCGATAAAGTCAAACAACTGACTAATGTCATAAGTGATGGAGGGACTGTTTGGATTCATCCTCTTAAGATGCTCTTCATACATTTTGCAAACGCCTGAAAGAGAGATGACAAAATGTTAAATAAAAGCAAAACCAGTTCCAAAACTGTGCATCTGAAATTAAGTACTAAAACTGTTAAATATCATTTTTCGATAATCAACTTATTGTTTTAAGACCTAAGGGTATAGAGGATAAAATCGTAGTTTTTTTGTTGTTACAGTGGATGACTGATGTGGTCTCTTACTCCTGTTTTTTGTGCATGAGGTGTCTCCTAACATGTAGCTAGACATTATACTTAACTTTCAAGAACAAAGAAAGAACAATTTAATCATTACATATTTATGTTAGTATGTAATACACAGAAAGAGAAGAGAGAACTTTATTCAAAATGACAGTGCCAGAAGCTCCATAACTACAGGACAAAAATAGGAGAAACACCAAAGGGCATCAGCAATAACAGTATGGCATGGCAGTTGCAGAGCTGCCCCAGGTGGGTGGGCACAGGTGATACTGTGTGTGCTGTCACAAAGACGCTTTAAGCTTACTATGGGGATCATGCTACATGTAAGCTTGCTGCTTGGCATTGTGGTGTTGTGCTTTGTTTTTGTTTAACATGAACTCCTCCTCCTCCTCCTCCTCCTCCTCCTCCTCCACCTTCTGGACTGTATTTGTCTCTTTTTCTCATGTCTGTGCTTTCTTTTGGGTTTGTCTTATATTTCTTTTTTGCTGTTGCCATTTTGGCCAGGCCTTACTCGAAAAAGAGGTCATTTGATCTCAAGCAATTCTGCCGGGTGAAATAAAATATAAATAAATTTAAATTTTTTTAAAAATTGTGAGTAACAATTGCATGCCAAATTGATGCTAAATGAAGAAGTAACTCTGTACTGTGGGCTGCTATGGATGTACGGTGTAAAAGCTGTGCAGTCTGTAGGCTGCACTGGTGTACGGTAAGTATCGGGGAAAATGTCTCTGTATTGCAGCCAAAATGTTTATTGTTGTGATTTGGAAAAGATGAAGTTGTCACAATGATTACTGAATGTTATTTTAGTCTGCGTTGTGGATTTTAAAGGCTGTGTGTGTGTGTGTGTGTTTGTGAACAGATTTGCCATTAAATAGAGTGATTTAATGAATTATAGATCAAGTTGTTTACTGAGAAATGTATCTTGGTCGTGTGTTGCGAGGTTGAGTGCATGCCGATATAACATCACTGCAATGTAAAATGTATAAAAAGGTTAAATGCCTTAAAGAAAAACAATTGAATAACAATAATATAAGAGATTTCAAAAGGTTGGTTATGGCGGGTATAACCTGCTACAGTTAAAAGATAAACTAATTACACTTATACCATGACAAAAGAGTTTTGTGATATAGTGAAATCAGATGAAGACTTACCCTCCATACATTCATTCACTGACTCATAGTCAGCATATGTGCGGCCCTCAGGTCTCTTGGTTGGTTGAACCAGCAAAATTGTGTGCGACTGTAAAAAAAAATGATTAAACACATTTTACTTCAAATATTACTGTCTTCATCACAACACCTACAGTTTTGTGTTTCTACCTCACATTTAGTATAAGCCCCGTGTTGTCTTAACCCTCTCAGTGGTTTCATCACAAATCAGGATGCTAAGATGAAATCTACGTCTGAAATAAATACAAAGGCTATTCCATCACTCATAGTTAGGTTGACAGGCGGTGATTACCTGTTAAAATGTAACTAGGTTTTCATCACAAAGAAGAAAAAGGACCTTTAGAGTAACGTAAGTAAACGTAGCCTCGTAGCTTGGTAGCTTCGTTACGGGTTTTCACGGGAGCTAATATAGACAGACCTGCAAGCATTTACCCTTTAAAAACATAAAACAAATTCATCTTACCATGTTTCTGTGCTTAAAGCAGACCGTGTCTACTTATTAGGGATGGGGAAAAAAAGCAACAACTTGATGTATTTTAGCACAAAATGCCCCGTGTGAATTCTGCTAGCTGTAAGATCAAAGCGTCACAGAGGAACTGAAATGAAGTTTTTTTTTCCGGTGTTAAATGATTCGCCTTCAAAATAAAGGTTTTGTTTCAAAATAATAGTCTTGCATTTATTCCATAGACTTGTAAGTGATTTATTCACGTTGTCAATTTTTTATCTCTATCTACGTTGTAATAGTCTGCCACAAAAATGCATGTCCTTTGTTTAAATCACTTTCTATAATGTAATGTTTTATATAATAAGTTGGCTACATGATACGTTCCACAATTTAGTAGAAAAGACCAATAGGAGGAAAAGAAGTAAGTGTCAGGTAAACTTGGTGCAATTGGTGCAAAAACAGATGGAGACGAAATAAAAATAACAGTTACCATTAAAAATGGAAATTTATTGATTGACAATAACATTGAAACTGTTTTTATTTTAGTCCTGATCAATAAGCCAAAGCATCCATGAATAAACAGAGAAATAAAACACCAAAAGGGGTTAAACAGATAACAAAATGAGGACCTAAGAACCAGAATGGAGAGCTGGGATCCTTTCAGCATAAATCTGAGGGGGTCTACATCATCTTTAATGTAAATTCCTGTTTAAAGACAGGTAGGCCTATGTGGTGAGTTTTTCATAACATGTTAGTGCATGATCTCAGGTATGTACATATTATGTGTGTAAAAAAAAATCACATGATTAACTTCATAGAGATGACACTGTATTATTTTCAAGATTTGTAGGCAATAAGGGAACATATGGTTATGCCCTTGCCCTCAGGGCACCCCTGGGTGGCCCTCTCCTGGGGGTCTCTCTGCGAGGTGGAGGTGGGGGCTCCCTCACCATGCTCCCACACTGTCTCTGGCATGCTTCCAGGGACATAAAGTTATTGCCATTGCCCTGGCAGCTTCCAAACCAGAACTCGGTACATTTGCCAGCAACTGAGTCATAGTAGTAGCGGACCTTCCAAGTGTCACAAGGGCCCTCGTCACGGGGAAAGCGACACACATCACCAGTGGATGGAGGGACAGGAGCCGGTGTGTCCTGCTAAGAGAGAAAATCAAGAAGCGAAAGATTGTAACTCTACTTAAGATTTGACTGATATACAATATGGAGCAGAAAGAATTCAGAGGCTGAGTTCTATTTTTAAAATGGGGTATTCCAGTGCTTTAGGATTATGAGTTCTTGAAGTAAGTCGACCTGTGACAGACACATTTAAAAAGGTGATTCAAACTTATCCTATGAAAGAGGTATTCTAAATCACTCACTAGTTTAAAATCATGCCCCATGCAACATAACCCAAAAACTCTGGATAATCTTTTTCCCATAATGCAGTTAAGGTGAACATTTTTAAATAACTTTTATTTTCATCTGTTGTCCTGTTCATAATGAGTGTTGCACTTATGTGTTTCAGGTTCTTAGCCATTCAGTTGTTATCATTGGACCTTTTCCCTATCGATCAGCAATGGTAAGGACAATTGGCAGTAACAACCAAGAGCGACATCAGGCCATATGTGGATCACATTTGATAACCTATAGCTACCATCAGTTAACCTCTGACTTTAGAATTCAAATACCTCATCGCTACCATTACTATACGCGACGGTAGCTAATAGGTCATCCTGTTTTTAAACTTCAAATCTGGCCAGATTTTAATAAAGTATCGGCAAATTCTCCATGTTTTCACAACTTAAATCCTGAAACAAAGTATTATTACTTAATAGGAAATTTGAGCTTATACCCTGAGCATTACATCAGAAGAGAATGGCTTTCAGGTGAATATGGTATATATTTCCTTGTCAGGTGGAACTCTTCATTATTCAAATTATATTTGAATAATTATATTTCGTACCACAGTTGGCCGGTACTCAGGACATCCAACTCTTCCAAATCCTTGAGCTTGGGTCACCCCATCCAAACAACAGCCGTATCTAAAAAAAAATATATATATATATGTACACTGAATGTTGGAAACACTTTATGAGACATATTGATAACAAGAACTGAATCCATAAGCAGTAGTTACCTGGAGCGGACACAGTCATCTTGGGAGCAGCCCTCGCCATGGGGCCCTCTAGCAGAGGTTTGACCGTCTGGACAGCAGCCATAGAATGACTGAGCACAGTAAGGAGTAATCACAGAAGGGTATGGATCGTACACAATGTTTGTATGTGGCCTGGACGCTAAAGAAAGCAAACACAGACAGAGACATGGTCAAACATGCGTATTGCAACTGTACATTCCATAGCCCCGAGAAAATATGTGCTTATCCTTTTTAGAAGGTTCAAGATTAAATCTGGATCGAGCTAAATTTGGCTGGTTAATTTTTCAGACCGTAAACATTGCTTTCAGTGGTACGGTATTCAAATAAACTCCTCATACTGCTGTGCAATCATGGTCTAGGCAGCAGTAATTATAACATTAAGGCACACTATCTTTACTGTTTTTGGAGTAATATTTGAGCTCAAATAACTGGTTCTGCACTTATTTAAAAAAAAGTTGTACATTTTGTTCACTTCTCAGGGGAATCGTTTCAACAAGGTATCCCAGATGACGTACCATAGGGTTCTCCTGGAACGTGGGGCACAAATCCTCTCACAGTGCTTTCGTGTGCCCTTGGATCCTGCACACTTGGGACCACTAAAAAAAACAAAAAACAAAGGTTGATTAAAATAAAAGCACAAACAATTTAATCAGCGTGTGAACGTGGTCAGATTTGGCTCACATTGTGCTCCGGGGCAGGCCTGTGAGTTGCATGATTCCACAGAGACTGGTCTGCTAGCTGCTCCACAGCGGGCCTCTGGGTAGGGGTTCAGATCTGTATCAAAACAGCCCACTCTCCTCTCCCTCACACCACCACCACAGCTTCTGGTGCACTACGAGACAAGCCAGGAAAGTGTGAAAAAACGCAGAGATAAAATAGTGACAAAAGTTGTAGTTGTGAGATGAGAAATTACAAATACCAGTCCATAGTCGGTCACGTGCCAGGTGATGTGCGTATGGCAGGCAGGTCTGCGGCAAGTCTGGACAGAAGCAGGTCTGGCCAATCCACTGCAGGTGCTTTCAGGAAGGCGTTCACCTCTTGACCCCACACAGAACACCTCCCTTGTCTGCTGCCCTTCTCCACAAGTCACAGAGCACTGACCAACAAGATATAAAAAAAAATCAGTCCAGCAGCAAACAGTAACTGTTTTAGATATTAATATATTACATCCCAATCACTTTAATAGGTCAGTACAGGCTTCTATGTCACAAGAGTTTTTTTTTTTCTTCATCAAAAGTTTGAAAACTTGATAAGATTGAACATAATCTTCAAAGTATCCACAACTATGGGACAGTTAAAAAAAAATACAGAAAAGTGGACATTTATTGGTGTGTATGTTGTACTTTTGACTGTGTTGTAAGGCATACTTTACGTTTATTCTCTTAGATCTACTCCAGAAACAATAAGCCATTGCTTGTTTGTATGAGAGTAAAAACAGAAATATAAGGTTGAGTTCTTTTTATAGGGTACAAACCGCACTGAAGCTGGACACGCTGTACTCAGCAGCACAGGCGTGCATGTTGCAGGCCTGCTGGCTCTGTGGTCTCTGCAGGCGCTGGGTAATGCAGTAAGACTCTTCCACCACACGGGGGTTGGCAGAGTCCTGAACCCAGCACTCAATGCTGCGATACTGCATGCCTCCACCGCAGGCAGCAGAGCACTCTCCATACACACCAGTTTTGTAGTAGTATGAGAGTGTTTCTCTTGGGTGAGGAGCAACTACAACAGGAGCAGCCGAGTGTACAGAATTAGTGTCTTCATCCAAGCCCAAAAACTCTCCATGGGACAGTATCTAGAGGAGGACAAATTATTTCAAATGTCATATAAAGATGAGGAGAGTTGGCATTTGGGCTTGTGAATTTGGATTACTGATCTTATTTTCCTTTAACTGGGAATAACAAGTCCAGAAAAGATATGCTATAGATATACAGTTCAATTCAAAGCGCAGAGACTCTGTGATTTTATTATAGATTATAGTTTTGTTCCTACCCTGCAGGCACCATCCACACAGATATCGGTGCGGCCTACGTAGCACTGTGTCCCATCCACGACTGCAGGTCTGTGTCTGTAGAAAAAGTTTGCCCCCCTTGGGACACAATGCAACTCACAGGGATTGGATGCTAAAGAACAAAAAAGATCCAGAAAAGTTATGTCATAAACAATTCATAAATCTATTAAAAAAAAAGTTAAATAAGACTGCCTTGAAGATCCAAGGGTGTTAAATTCCATCACGACAAAGGTATTATGCCATCTAGAATCATGTGGTATATATAATTGACCAGTTACCTCCATAATAAGGCACCCATGAGTGTTGTTTGCTCTGAAAGTCCGTTCTGTCCAACTGGGAGCACTGCTCCTCCCTGAAGTCCCTGGATCCAACAGGACAAGCCTGTAATTATGCAAAGTTTGGGATTATGGGTGTGATTTATTTGTGTAGGTTGTGGATAGTTTGTTTTTTTTATATAAAAAGGCATAATAAAAGTATTTAAGGATAATTACATGCGTATTACAGGTGCGATAGGCTTTGGAGGATCCTAAGCAGTTGTGTCCTCCATCAGTCCTGCAAGAGAAAGAAAAGTTTACTATTTGACACAATCTCTTTAAAATAGTCTTTTGAAGGAATTCATTGGGCTTAACTGGTCATGTCAATAAAAAAACATGCCATGGGCATAACTTTACATAAATTATGTTTTGTAATAGAATAAAGTAAGACTAGATTAGGGACATAAAATATGTTATTAATGATTAAAAGCATAAACATAATACAAACTATTGTACAACTTTTAAATCATGTGTAAAAAAACTAAGTATCTCTCTACAAATTTGTATCTATACCCTAGCATGTAATGTCTTAATGTCCTACCTTGAAGTGATACATTTCCTGGTCCTCATTGCCACTCCTGTGCCGCAGGTACGACTGCAGGGCCCATAGGCTCCAAACTCTCCCCAGTAGTCATGGGTTGGTTGTGTAAACTAAAAAACAAACAAACAAACACACCAGAAAAATATAA